TTTTACACTTGGAATTTCGAGATTTGAATTGAAGTGTTTCATCTAGTGTCAGCAAAATTTATATCGATTCTCTGTCGTACGTAAGATTAACTGTAGTATTCGATACTCGTGGCCAACGGAATCGATGTCACGGATTTTGTGTTGCATACGCGATAATGGTTTACCAGCATTCAATCGTGCCAGTGGGTGGTTGTTTTTTTTTTTTCTATTTGGCAAAGAGAGAATGTGGTACGTAAATTTCCCGCAGAAGAGGGTTTGCGAGGGAATAAAAGAGGAAGAGCTAGTGATGCATATATCGGATTCGGTAGTTTATTCGTGGCTTTTGCCTCGCCGAGGCATCATGACTAACAGTTAGGTTTTCGTAATGGTGCACCACATATCAGACCTATCGGACCGCTTCAAAATTCTACGGGATATATCCGTGAATTTCTAAGGGATTTTAAATTCAGGAGACAGGGCTCTGGGAATGATCAAATGACTTGGTTTTTTTCATCTATTGTAGTCTTCACTGGGAACACGTAAGGGGACGGATAAAGGAAGAATTTCAAGAGTAGATGGGGTGGATGCATATATTCAAATGGTTGAACACATTCCATGGGTTTAGTACGTAGGCATGGGTGGATGCATCACTGATCGACTCTCCATTATTCAAATTCAGAATACGGGAATTGAGTGCTATTCCATGTTAGGCGAACTGTCCAATTCCAGAGGAAAAAACTCTTCAAGAACTTCCGTTCTTGAAGAATCCTTGCGGATTTTTTTGATTGTCCGGTCGATTGTCTTCTTTATATTATTATTATTATTAGTGTTCTACTGCGGTATTAGGGAATTGTTGGATCCGGAAAATGTGGAATTTTCCATTTTTTGTGTCACGCGATATTTTAAACGCGAATTCAGTTGAAATGTTTGGAATTTTTTCAATTTTTATTTCTCCTTTTTATATTGGGATTTTACCAATGATGATTGAACAATTATCGGTAGTAATAGTGACGCTTTGAATATGGAATTTGAATAGGGACAGTAAAAATTCAAAAATTGCATGAATAGGAAGTCCCGGTATTTTTTATACTTTCTCCGTCGGACAAATTTGATCGTATCTTTTTGTGGGTTAAAGGATATGCGTTCACTCTGTTTCATATCCTCACCCCAATTCTCATACCCCATTCATGTCCGTTCACCAAAAGCGCTTGTTTCCAATTTCATTTCCATGGTATTTTACGCGGTTCAACAAATTGATCGAACCGGCCCTCTCACTGTTGCTGGTGGTATCAATTTTTTTTTTTTCCACTCGTACCTCTTCACTACATCATAGGATGGAAAATAAATTGGAAAAAAACGGGGTGTGAATCTCTGACGATTTTCTCCCCCCGCCACCCCGCTCTCTACTCGATGTATTGTAATTTTATCACACGTCGTGTCTATCAGTGAAAATCTGAATGCAAAAATGGAGTGGAAAAAAAAAGGGAATTTACATTCATTGGGGGCGGACATGCGCAGAATATGGATTAGCCGCGTAAACTTGACGTTGACATGGTTGAGAGCTTTCGTCATGACATATATTCGTTGACAACTCTATTATGTCCTGCTCCACGTTCATTTACACGAGGGGGGGTGATAAGGGGGTGGTCATACCTGTCAATGAGAGTTAAATCGGATGGATGGGAATTTTCTGTTTTCAATTATACAATACCATTTTTGCATTCTATCTCGATTTTTCAATCGCCAATGCGTCACAATTGACTATTTTTTTTATCACCAAATCGTAGGGGATGTTAATTTGTCGTGCAATTTTTACTTGAAGCGAGGGAATTTTTTATCAGATGATTACGCATATTTTCATAAAACGACGAACACCTGGATTATTCGTTTCATTCTGAGGGTTGCGTAGTATATTCCCGTGACCCGTCCTCTGGTGGAATTCGTCAAAGAGTTTCCCGGAGAAAAGTTTTCCATCCTGGGCTCGGAAACCGACGAAACCACTCTGCCGGTTAATATAAACCTCAAGTGCGCTTGGAATACGTAATATCTTACGCTCACCACCGTAAGTACACTACAGAGGGATAGAGACAGCTAGGGGGAAGTATCTACCGTGTTTTCGTCTCCCAGCTCTAGGGTTCCACACCATATAGATGATGTTGAATACGGGACGTTGTGAGTTTTGATGCTGCACATCCTCGCTTCACCTATACCTCCAAAACCCGTTTTACCACCTATACGTGATCCCGTACTTGTGGTGTACATTCGGTATTTGCATGCTTTTTCGGCTATTTCTCTCTTGATTATTCGTCCGTGTCAGCTTTCAACGTGATCAACATCTGCCCTGACAACGGTGTCAGAAGAACATTGAAATTTTATCGGTTATAAAATTCGCAGAGACGATAACAATACTAAAACCCGAAAAATCAATTCGTATCGGTCCCCGGGGCCCGATCGTCACCCCCAAATGATTTCTCAATTAAAAGTCTCAAAAAATCGATAGATTATTAATTTCTCATATTTCATATATTTCTGCGGTGAATTAGTCCTTCCTAAATGGAAAAAATGTGGAAATGCCTTTTCTGAAAATGCATTTTTTTATTGACCGCCATTTTATGGCGTACAACGTGTACGATAAAACCACCGGTTTCTCGATAAATGCGTTAAAATGCAAATATTTCCAAGAAGTGTACTGGAAAAACCACCCAGAGACATTTAACGTCAGAGATAGGATATTTCACTCCGAAAAGTCTCGTGTGCGTGAAATTCAATCATCCGTAAATCGAATCGACATCCATCCGGCATCACCGATATATCGAGCGGTATTGTCCGCAAACTGTCAGTCATAATGCGATGGGATTATACCGCGTGGGAATCAGTCAGGACTTGTTGGTGAGCAGACACCTGGGAGAAGTGAGTTTGAATTTCCCGTAGGAGATGGTGGAAGTGATGTGTGACAAAGTTACGTTTATCCAGTCGCAATGGTGTCTTATCTAATCATATTTTAGACGATTTCGAATACCAGGGGGAATCGTTTAATTTAAGGTGTCAGTGCACGCGGTTGATGGATTGAATGTTGAAAAGTTGATGTATATTTGAATGGCGTGAAGTATTGGGGAGTGAATGAATGCAGGATGCGCAAGTGTGTTGAGGTGTTGAGGTGTTGAGGTGTTGAGGTGTTGTCATCGTATTCATGGGTGTTTCTTTATGTTTCATTCCTGGTGCAGTGTGATATGTCTAGAGGGGATCGTTTCAGGGGGATGGAA